ACAAATCCCTCAGTCCAGGCAAGGAGGTTTTCCAGGGATTTGAGCTCCTGCTGCCCAAGAACTCCTCACCTACAGAAGTTCAGCTGATATTTTAAATCTAATTTATATATAAAGCCTAGAAAAGGAGATTTTTTTGATATGAAACACCCATTACCACTGAAGTTGGTCGCAGTTACTGTGGGTTTTGGGGGCAGGGATGCAGCACTTGCTGTTCCCATGTTTTTTTCTCCCAGCAAAGCTTTTAAATCCTCATTTATCAGCACTTTTCATAATTCTACCCAGCTCCATGTCAAGTCAACCCAGGATATCTCAGGAAATTCTGCTTCGGAGAAGTGAAATATTAGGAATGAAATAACTCCCTGAACGAAAAGAAACGATTCAGTGACCAAAAAATGTCCCAAAACTGAATAAATCCCGTTGCTTTTCACTGGATAAAATCCATCACCTTGTGCTCATGGTCAGCTTTTGCTGTAATCCATCTAACCCTGAAACCAAGGAAGGAATGTTCTGGAAGATGAGCAACCTCAGGGAAGGCCTTGAGCTCCAACTGGGTTGTTTGTCCCAGATAAACCCCAAGAAATCTTGGGAATCATGAAATCTGCTGCTGCGATTCTGGCGGTCGAGTCCTCTACGTGTAAATAATTAGATAATCATTTGAATTTAGAAATAAACTTCTAAGTCAGAGATAAACCTGACACTGCTTCAAATTACCAGAGTCATTTTAGTCATTTAGTCAATTTAAGAGTCAAATTTTAGGGCATTTACAGAAGTTTCCTGATAAATAAAGGGAGGAAAAAAAGCCTTTGGGGACGTCACAAGGTGAATTCCCAAAGATCAACTGTAAAGGACACCTGGGTGACCTTTGGGAACATTTGCCTTTGAGAACACCAGGAATATCAAGTTTTGTTATCTAAAGAAAATATATGATATTGTTTCCTGGGAAATGGAAATGGAGGGAGCACCTCATGGAAGATTTAAAGGAATTCTGACATTGCTTCGCTCTTCCAGCCAAGGAGCCTCAGGAATTCTCTTCCTGAGGCTTAAAACTTGATTATTTTATTTATTTTATCACTGAAAAGACCCCCAAGTGTTTTAATTTTGGCCTTGTGTCGTGTTCCCAGGCAGGAAAACTGCCAGGATCATTCCAGCATTATCCCTGTATGGTTTTCCTGGGCATTTTCTCCTGTTATGGGCCTTATTTTTTACATTTCTCTCTAACAAAGAGAACCAGGTACAAGTAAGGAATTAGGGTCAGGCCAGGCCATAATTGCAATTTTAATTTAAATTTAATTTAATTTTCATTTTAAACAGCCCAGTTACTCCTCAGTTTCTAGTGGTGTTAGAGGAGGGTGAAGTTTTAAACAGAGGTTTGAAGGAGTCAGGGGCATCATGGATAATATATTTATATTATCAGCCATGGCTGCACATGGAATTAAACACATAATAATCCCCAAATTCCAGAGTCCACCCTGTCCCAGGCTGGAATCCACTCTCCCCTTTTTTTCCCATGAAGAGCTATTTAAGCTCAGCCTTAGGGATATGCTCTTAAAACCCACTTTAAGCCTCCAAAGAGAACTTCCAGACTCCCTCTTTTTATTTTTTACCCATTTTCCTGCTGCCAAGAGCAGGATAGAGGGAAAGCAAGAGCTAATTCAATCTCCACTCCCAAAATCCAGCTCCAGGTGAGAGAAAATATTCCACCTTTGCAATATTTCTCCACTGAAATTTTGGAATTATTTTCTAGGCAGCCTTAAGTCAAAAATGCTCCTTCTTCCTCCTTCTGCCTTTATTAATTCACAAATATTTTCACAAATCCTGCTATTTGGGGGCACAGGGTCACGACAGATGCTTTTATTCTTAGTTTAGGCCGCTCTCTAATTTTGGCCACGTTTTTCTTCCGTGAACTGTGCGCTGAAACTGAGTTTAATTTCAATTTTAAGGCGAATTCTGGCGGGCAGAAGCAGCCTCAGCCAGCTCAGGAGGTGCATGAGAGAAGGTCCCAAATGCCTTCTGCTTCTCTGCTTTTATTTCCTCAGCTTTAGAGTCACTCTGAGAAAAAATATCCACACTTTTAGTCCAGAAGGGCCAAAGAAGAGGGGAGAAACCCCCTCAGGGTGGTTCCTACACACAGAAAATTCCCATCTGTGGACGGCTGTTGTTTCCAGTGATTTTGGTGGGATTGCAGGCACGGGTTAGAAAGAAGTTCTAAAGCTCTACTCCATAAAATACCAGAACTTAGTTGTATTTTTGTACCCTTTTTGTCCACGAACCCGAAAACCTTCCCTGCCCAAACACACCCGACCCGGGTGTTGTTTCCTGACCCTGAATTCAGCCCGGCCAAAGCTTGGGGCAATTATCTAAATATCACCCATAATTCACGGCAGGAAACCCCCGGAATTCCATTTCCTCTCCCCTCCCAGCCCCCGGGATGTGAACCCTTCTCCCCGCGTTTGGGAGGTGTAAAAAATCCTCTGGCGGCTCCCGAAGGAATGAGGAGCCAGGGGCGAGTTTATATCGGGCATTAATAACCAAATCACCTTAGCCAGGCTGGATTTCGCCTGCCAGATTTAAATGCCCCTCATCCCAGGAGCTTCCAGGGGCTCCTGGAAGAGGGGATTCCCCCTCCCCGAGATTCCCTCGTACCTTGACGAAGAGGGAGATGTCGTGCTCCTGCTTCTCATCCTCCTGCTCCTCCTCCTCCTCCTCGGGGGTTGCCGGCGAGCCCGTCTCGTTCTCCTCGTCCTCCGCCCGACCCCTCACTCCGTTCAGGCTCCGACCCCACTCGCTCTGGGGGTCCGGGGCCCCTCTTTCCGCTGCCTCGGGGGTCGCGTCCCCCGCTCCTGACCCCGCCGGGGCCGCGGGGCCCCGCTCGGGCTCCGCTCCGTCCGCGCCGTCGGGGCCGCCCGGAGGTTGGAGAGCGCCCTGGGGCTCCAGCGCCGGCTCCGCTTCCCCCCGGCTCCCGGGAGCCTCCTCCATCCCCGCCGGGGCCGCTCCCTCCTCGGGGATTGTCCCTGGCGGGGCCGCATCCTGCCCCGCATCCTCAGGGATTGTCCCTGCCGGGGTTTCCTCCTGCCCCGCATCCTCAGGGAT